TGAAAAGTGAATTGGATAAAAACGAAAGTAGAATGTCGAACAATTTAGATAATTTGCGATGCTTCATACCTTATAACTTAATTACGCAACATAGTATCCCGGATAAAAGTATCGCGGATTGCGTAGAAGCTCTAATAGGAGCATATTTAATTGCATGTGGCCCTCGTGGAGCGCTTCTCTTTATGACCTGGTTAGGAATTCATGTTTTGCCCGCCGAAGAAGTTTGCGTGATGAGCGAAAGTGAACCAGAAGAAAGAATACCAGGTAGTACGCCATATGTAAAGGGGATTAGTGAACAGGGCGGAGCTACTTGGACACAAGTGAGTAGTTGATTCCATACAGGTTTTTTTGAAATTGTCAAAGTTGTATTAGTTGCATTAATCTTTGCAATTTTTGTAAAGGGAGTATGTCAATTTTCATAAACAGTAATGTGTTTAGCTACTACTAGTAATTTATAAGCCAATAAAAGATTTTTCACATATAAAGAAAAATATTTTACAAGAGGAAAAAATATGAATATAATGGAACATTACTCGTGATGTATATGTAACTTTAAGTAGATTGCTTTTTTTTGGTGAAACTTTAATTTGAGATTTAATTACATTAAGGTGTTCAAGATGTGAAATTTATAAAAGGTTTCAGAAAATAATAATAATAAGCTCTATTGTATATGGACGATTAATAATAATAATCTCTATTGTATATGGACGATTTTATGGGAATTTTTACGTAAACATAAAATGGCTCTAAATTTGGAGCGACAAGGAATATAAGTGCTCTGTCCAACAGCCTATATATTATTCACTCTTTGTAAAATTTTGTTTGAAGTAATATTCAAATTAAGTATATATTGGAAATATGAGAGAGAGAATTATTGTGTTTATACATACATATACATACATATACATATCCATATATATATATATATATATATATATATATATATATATTTCCATGTATGAAAATTTGCAGATTTGTTATGGCAAGTTAGAAGAGCCACAAAATCCATTACTTCGATACATTCCTGATCCAGAGAATGAGTTACGTATGATGCTCGACGGATATGACGAATTGGAAAAAAGTATAGGATATAAATTTCGTGATAGTAGTTATCTTTTACAAGCGTTTACGCACGCTTCTTATCAACCAAACAGATTAACAGATTGTTATCAACGTTTAGAATTTCTCGGTGATGCTGTGCTAGGTAAAAACCTTGGTGCCAATTAACATGAAAAATATCTTGTTAGTGCAACTGGTTTACATTGTGAGAAGAGATCAATATGAAATATTGTCATCTTTATCCTAATGTTACCATTAATTAATTAATACATTTTCTATATCTTGTTAATTATATTTATAATACAAATAGTCCATAATAATTTATTAAATATCTTTAAATGATACAGTTGGGCTGATTCGGCCATTCGTGTCGCTATCATCTTTTTATAATAAATATTTATTATTCTTGATGATTTTGTTTTGAAAATCCAAAGCATGCGCACACATTTATATGTGCGCGCCTTGACACACACACACACACACATATCAAAAGATATAACTAATAACGGTGAGAAAAAAATGTACAAATTATAGCATATCTATGCAGCAAATGTGATAATATTTCATTGATCATTTATGCGTATTGCGTGCATGCGTGCGATGTATTCTAGTAGTTATGTACTTGTACTCTTTTTTTTTTATTTATTTTTTTTATATATCGCGTGTATCGTGTACGCGCATATTTGTGGAAGTGCAAAAATTTTTTAATCAGATAATCATAATTGCCAATTCTCACAATTTGAATCAATTTGATCAAGAAATGATTTTTTATGATAATTGTATGCTTATTTGCGCATACATCTATGTGTGTATAGGGGGTCTTATTGCCAGACTCAATCAACAAATTAATAATACCTTGAAATACCACATTTTATATTTCAGATTATTTGATAACTAGACATTTATATGAGGATTCCCGACAACATTCGCCGGGTGCTTTAACAGATTTAAGATCTGCTTTAGTTAATAACACAATATTCGCTTCTCTAGCTGTGAGATGTGGTTTTCACAAGTATTTCCGTCATCTCTCTCCTGGCTTAAGCGTAGTGATAAATCGCTTTGTCAGAATACAGGAAGAAAATGGGCATTCCATCAGTGAAGAGGTATAAAAAGGAAAAAATGTTATACATATAATATAGTAAGGAAGTAGACATACACTTTCTCTTGGCTATTTTAAATATAAAATGATCAGTACGTGGCTTTTTATAATATTTTGATTTGTCATTCGAAATTTATACAAAATTTTTATATAAATAAATTTTGTGCATGCGTATGTATCATCGCAAAGTCTTAAAAATCGTGAATCTCATATAAAGAGATCATTAATCATATAACAATGTATAAAATAAAACTTTATTTTTCCATGATTTCAAACTTGGTTCAAGGGACAATATAAATGGAAAAATCGATTATTTATTATAAAAAAGTATGACATTTTTAGTATAATATTTAGATATTCACAAGATGTTCACAATTTCTAAATGACAATATATTGTATTAAAAAAAAAACCGTGATAAACTGTAATTGTCCAGTAAACTGTCATTTTTCTCATTTCTGTATAAGCAAATATATATATATATATATATTCTTGGAAATTAAATGATCTTAATAATTAATATTATATATATATAAAATATTAATATATTAATTTTATATACATAAAATATTAATTATTAAAATCATTTAATTTCACACGAACGTTTTTATCAAAAACAGATTTCTTTCAAATATTAAATAGACTTGCAGATTTAATAAACACATGTATGCATTAACTAAGAATATGTCTAATTGTTTAAAACATTTGTTTATTTCTCTTGGAAATTAAATATATATATATATATATATATATATATATATATATATAATACATGCATAATAATACATACATTAAATCTGCAAGTCTATTTAATATTTGAAAGAAATCTGTTTTTGATAAAAACGTTCGTGTTTATATAAATTATGTATATGTAATATGTAATTATATATATATATATATATATATATATATATATATATATATATATGTAACACACACACACAGATAAATACATTTCAGTATTACTTGATCGGCGAAGAGGAATGTGAAGAAGCTGAAGACGTAGAAGTACCAAAAGCACTGGGTGACGTTTTCGAATCATTAGCCGGTGCTATTTATTTGGATAGTGGAATGTCTCTTGATGCCGTATGGAGCGTTTATTATACGATAATGAAATCAGAAATTGGTAATATATCTCTCTTTTAATTAAAACAAAAATTCAAGAGCTGCATAACTAACTTATTAAGGAAAATGTTATATAATTGTAGAGCAATTTAGTACGAATGTTCCCAAGTCTCCGATACGTGAATTATTGGAGTTGGAACCTGAAACGGCAAAATTCGGCAGACCTGAAAAACTGGCTGACGGCCGTAGAGTTCGAGTAACCGTAGATGTATTTGGTAAAGGTTCCTTCAAAGGTATCGGACGAAATTATAGAATCGCAAAATGTACGGCGGCCAAGTGCGCTCTGAAGAAATTGAAGAGCAAAGTACAGAACTATCCAAGGCAAAGAACTGTATGACAAAGCTTATAATTAATAAGAGGAAAAGAACATACGATAATTTTATTATCGTTCAACCTGTTCAAAAACTTGCCGAAATATACATCGCAGAATTATAACGTGCGAGCGACAATGTTAAAAATATAATCTTTTATCCGCATAAAAAAATTACATCAACATAATTTAGCTGACGAGAGCTATAGTTTCTTTTCTTATCGAAAAAGCTACTTTATTCGAGCCTAATCGCATTAATTGCATTTTGACAATTAATGATATTAGATGTAATACAAGTAAATAATTTATCTATTTACACATGATTGATAATAAAATAAAAATAAAACAATGGTGGATAAATTGCAACATATTATTCTAGAATATGCAATATCTCATTTTTGACAATAATCGATTTATTATCAGTATTTATTTATAAAATACATTTTTTCACTATCATGTTATTATATTATCGACATAAAAATATACATTTAATTATGTTTTCTCACCATTTTAACACATTGCAACTTTGAGATATATTTTGAAAACAATTATGTTTGTATTTCTAAGTAAGATTTGTCGATTTCACAAAATGTTTTATATAATTCTCATATAATTTATTCTTTGAAAGTTCTAGTCACACTAGTGCTGTTGATTTTATAATTTTTATTGAGAGAAAATTAATCTTTATAACAAGAATTGATTCGAAGAAATCATAGCATTTTGTATGGCAATGCGTAATGTACCAACAATTCTAATTTTGTTATTTTATTGCTAGAAACTACATATATAAAAGAAGAAATACAATTTACATAGTAGCAGCAAAAATCAATAAAATTAAGTCGTCACAATAAAATTATATGTAATCACGAAATAATGATGCAAACAAATAATATTTACATCTCGTAGCATTTTTTAAGATTTTTTTAAGATTTTTTTTCATCATAATACAGATTGCTGCTCATGAAGGCGTAATAATTAAAAAGAGTTCTATAATTTTTATTGTGAATTTTATAAAAGAAGAGATAAAAATAAAATGTTTTATAATGTATAGAGAGTTTTTTAATTTAAGAATAGATGCAAAAAAATGAACAAAAGTTATGTATATAAAATAAAATATAAATAAAAATATTACATACACAAATAAATATAACATACAAATATTATGAAAACATAAATAAAAATATTACACACAAAATATACTAGTAACAACAATGAACAGAATATCTAGATCATTTTTCGAGATTTAAAGAAACCTCCTAGAGATGGATACAGAATGTGAAAAGTGAAAGATATCTTCAAATATTTAAATGACTGTTCTCCATGAAAATTCTGAAAATAATGGTGTTGAAGAAAAAGATCAATATTTTATATATACATTTCTAAAATTATATAAATTACAACTGTAATTACAAATGTAATAAACTGTTCTTTCATATCTTTCAGTCTAGAAAAGTGTTTTTTTAGGCATCATACGTACGTATATGTATGTATTTATTTGTATATGTGTGTGTGTAATACTGATCTGAAGACAATTATATTTATATAGATAAAAAAAATTTAACAATCCAATTGACTGTAGAAGAGTGCTATAGCGGGATCTTCGCATTCGGAAGTTATTAAGACATCTCGAAATTTATCAAGAAGTTGTAACAATTGGGATCTACGAATGTTTTCTAAATACATAATTTCCTCCAAGTGATAACCACCGTTAAAATAGCCAAGACGACACAATCTATCGAGTAGTTTTCTATCATCAGAAGGAATATCGTAATCCTCTGATTGATAATCATACAACGTATCCTTCTTATCTGTGAGTGACAATTCCTCTTTGATTTCGGTAGGCGTTCCTTTTGGTGTCTCGTTCAAACTCCACGTGCTTCCACTTTTTTCTATCACGTCTGTGTCACATATTTCTTGATCTTTTGTATCCTAATATTAAGCATAAATAAAAATTCAGAAAAAAACGTAGTCAAGAAATGCAGGAAAAATAAAATAAAATCATTTCAATCATGAATAAGTTCATTAAAACCTTTTCTTCAAGGATAATATTATTTATAATAGAAATATACTGAATAGAGCTATACTTTACTATAAATTTTGGAATAAATTTATCTCAATAGATCGATTTTGCTCATAAAATTGGAAAGGTGCATTACAATCAAATAAATACGTTCCAAGTATGATACATATTCACATCACAACAGTAAATTATAGTAAGATGAAACTTACTAATGATAAACGTCCATATGCCATTGGTATATATCGTACGTATGTGTGCAATTGTAGGAGCAAATGATTTTTTAATAGCCATATAATTATCTTTACTAATTGCGTTTGTTGATGTGGTTGGCTTAAAGGATTCAACTTTTGGCTAATGGAAGTTGGCAAGGAGAAGTCATTGATGACCTAAAAAAAAAAATGTACAATATATTCTTATTTGTCTTTAATAACTATAAATTTAAAAATACATTAGGGTTAAATAATTACACACGTTAATATACATATCAATTTTGTAAAGGTAACAAGCTTGGAATTAATATATATAGATCTAACAATAATAAAACAAAAATAGCTATATAGAATATATGCATATATACTTGAAGTAAGCAAACTCCAGGGAAATGTTCGGAAAAAGAATCTAGTAACTGGCTGGTCAAAATAGCATCAGAAGAGATAACATAGACGTTGCTTTCACAAAGCGGGTAAATTATTGTAGCTTTTGCCCAGTAAATTAAATGACCAGTTAACTGAAACACTTGCGCCAGCGTCAGATCCGAATTAGCCGCTAAAGTTTGTAAGCTTTTCAATGGATTGTACATTTGAATCAAACGTTTAAGTGCCGGAGAGCAGTCTATTTGTAAAGATTCTAGCAAGTCTAACGGCTCCGTTAACAAAAGTATGCCGTGATAAGGTCTTAAACTGTTCAAACATCTGCAAAAGAAATAATACTAAGTAACAATAATATTAAGTTTGTATGTTTTAAATTTTATATATACACACATACATACATATATCTAGAGAAAGAGAGGGAGGAAGGGAGGGAAGAAGAGAGAGAAAGCAACTACATATGCGTAATCCAACTAAAAGTTAAAGATATTAATCTCAAAACTGAATAGAAAATTCCATAATTGACAAAAGAGTATCTACTTTAAACACACATACATACATTAAGAAAGGATTATAGGAGAATCTTTTATATAAAAAAAGTTTTATTTAAATTATTTACTTACTTAAATTATTACTGTCTAATAATGTTACATTATTTCTCACATGATAGCATCAAATAGTTTTTAAATTTATTAGCCAAATATGTAAAAAAATTAGTAAGTATACTTGTCATATTACTTTCCATATACTATGAGATCATTACTTTTTTTTCCTCTTTTTCTTTACATGTTTATATGGTCTTATATGGATAACCACAAGAGAACGATATATTCAAATCTTTCAAGAATGACAGCAATTTTGTATCATATAAAAAAACTAAAAAATTATTGTTATAAACTATTGGAACATATTTTCTTCTTCTGGGAATGTTTGCTTTCTTCTACATCTTAAGATTATAAATTTTCTATTCAATTATAAGTTAACACATTTTCATTCAATTGCTTAGAAATTTGATATTATGTAACAAACCTATCTATAATCTCAGGATCGATAAGTAGACCTTTTTTATGTGATTGATGAACTTTTTGAGGAAGACAGAAGCGCACCTGAATCCACTTGTTAATCATGATATTGACTATGCCAGAAGTGCTAAGATTACTAAAGACAGATTTTAAACCACGTGCCAGTGAGCTTCGTTGAAGGATTAATTCATATGGTGATTCATCACAATCACTTTCACCTTCAGATCTAAAAATATATATATATATGTATGTATATATATATATATATGTACACACACACACACACACATATACAAACACACACACACACACACACACACACGATAAATTATACTATATTATACAATTATAAGAAAATATTAAGAATGATCATATTTACCTTCCAGCAATTTCATCATGCGTAGAGACCATTATTTTTATTTCATCAGTCAGAAAGCCACATCTTCTTTCTTCATGTCTCAATGCTATGCCTAATCTAAGCACGTCAAAATGCAAATTCCGTGTATCGTAATCATTCTGCATATGTGTGGAAATTACATTACCTTTTGCTTAGGTCATAGTAACATCTCACTATCGAATGACTTGCTTGTGCTTGCAATGCAAAGACTATATTGAAAAGCATAGAAGAATTCACTTCCTTTAAACCACGGGAGAGAACTAAAGTTGGATGTCCAACAAACCGGACATCATTTACTTTCAATTCGAATTTTTGTTCGCATAATTCAGGTTTAACAGCAAATAAAGTAGACAGAACTTCGTCTGTTAAACCAGTTAAATTTCCATTATTTATGTTTGACGTTGGAAATGGCAAAGACTGTTGAATAAAATAAATATTTATTATTACAAATTATGACTAAATATTATATATTTATACCATGAATGACACAATAAATAATATCGTCGAAAATTTTCCACGAATATTAAAATAAGATTATATGCTATAAGTAACATACTTGCAACAAATCTTCCATATTCGTTAGCGAATAAGGGTTTTTTCGTTTAGTGTATTGACTCGAATCTCTCACGTGATTCGTCATGTGTGGATATCGAAATAATAATCTGTCACCCTTACTATCGCTTTTTACCAAAATTATACTCAGTGGATGGATTTCCATGTTTCACAATCAATAATATAGTCTCAATAAAATTAGATTAAATTTAAATATATCTCGGGTATGGTCGGGTAGAGGTTATTAACGCTATTTAACGATATAAACTTTTCGACACCATTCGTGGATCTAGAGCAATAAACTAGAGATTGAGGGCCGGTTCCACAACTCGAGTTAATCCGAGTTTAATACGTCAAACTGGATTCTGATTGGTCCATTCGCTACTTAAACTTGGATTAACTGGATTGTGGAACTGGGCCTGCGGGCCGCTTCGAACAAACTCCGATTTGTCCAGATCTACAATAGATAACTTAAGCCTTAAGAAATTGACCAATCACAGTCGAACATACTCTTCATACTTGACTGTGATTGGTCAATCTCATAATGGCTCCTGCAGACCAGCGCGATGGCGCGACACGCAATGCGCGATATGCGACGAATCGCGAGAATAGGATTTTCCACCTATTCACATAGGGTGCTTTCCAGCAAGCAACACAGGCGACACCGTGTCGCTACAGTGTCGACACAGGTGCTTTCCAACTACGACACAAGTCGACACAATCGTACACAGCAAAAATGCTGTGTTCGCCTGTGTCGTCGTTTTGTAGCACCCCAGTGAGTGCCAACATAACATTTCATATTTGGTATCATTAATTTTTTTAAGAATGGTATTGCGTGATATTGCGTCCAAAAGACATCTAAAAGACGACTTAAAGACATCTAGACGTCTTTAAGACGACATAATGTTGTGTGGGAACGTTCTGAAAATTTAGACCTAGTGACAACTATTAAAAGTGACTGCCCTGCACTCTAGTGGCAAAATAAAATAGCTAAAAAGCGTTCCAGCTACAAGTCGACACTGTGTAACACTGTGTCACACAGTGTATCACTGTGTTACCATAGCTGGAAAGCACCCATAAACGCGATGCGCGATTACGAGCCCTAACCTTAAGTGCCAATAATGAACAACAAACAATGCAAGCAGTTTTTGCTTCTATTATTCTATTTTATATTATTTAATATTATATAAATATATTTATTTAAACTAACTATTTATACTCAATTATATTTACCGTGTCAGATAGTTCCAACTCGAGATATTCATAATAGGCAGCCTTCGCGCATGCGCGGCAGTTCTCGCGCCTGATTGGGAGTCTACACGCATGCGCGGCAGTCCTCGCGCCTGATTGGGAGTCTCGGCGCATGCGCAGCAGTCCTAAATGTAAATATATATACAAATTTTATTTGTATATATCGATAAGAAATATATACAAATAACATTCATTCTTTAAAAAAATATCTAAAATTAGTACCCGCATTTTCTATTGTTTCTCTATAATATATATTGATTAACTATCATGTGCACTGTATGTTATTTCATTACAATCGGTATCTATTAAGCAAAAATTATGTAATTTAATAACAAAAATATTGGGCAAATAAATAATATATAAATGATTTTATTCGTTAAATGATTAGTACAATTGCTTCTAATGTATCTGTTCTAAATCGTAAAGCATTTTTTTCCAACTTGCACCAATATATTTTGCATACGTATATTTACAACAATTGTCATTGCAGAGATTGTGTTTCGACAGTTCGGATATCTACAAGCATACTGTAGCAAGAAGAGTAATTTTATGCAACTTCAATTATATAAACTTTACATCAAATTTGTTTCTATAATATAAAACAAAATACTAACACACTTTATTTAAGTATTTGCTCTAAATTATGCTGTCATTCTGCAGGGCAAGTATCATAAGTGTTTAGATATATCAGCATATGACGTTACGCTTTTGTGCATCAGCAGGATTTTTTCCTTTCAGATAATAAATGTTTCTATTAAACAATATATGTACACATATGTATAGAGCAAAAGAAACAAGTATAGTGCGCATATGGGTGTAACTGTATGTGTACACATCTTGCGATACATTCCATATACTCTTTAACAAAATTAAAATATTAATTTGTATAATAGGAAGAAAAAATATGTAGGCAAGATAATGAAATCTTTATGTAACGTAATGTAACAATATTATAATATTAATTAATAAGTAATCTTGAAAAATGTACTGTAAAACGATTATTTTGAAGAGTTTTTGAAACAAGTAGGTTCTCCAATCAGTTTGAATCTATTTTAGTTAAAAATATCAGCAGATCATCTATTTCAATGATTTTAGATATATTATAGAGAGGAAAATACTGAATAGCCTTTAATAAACATTAAATATTATTTATTTTTAATTTCGAAATTGTCAGTAGATATATATAGAGAATTAAAGTCCTTTAATAGAAAGTCGCTCTAAATTGTTGGATGTTTTAGATACAAAGTAAGGTCCAAGATTTTTAGCTTAAAAACAAATTCAAAATTATATTCATATTACTTGATACAAGTTTTATTTGTATTATTACCAAAATTGCAAATATTTAAATTAAATTTAGATGAGATTATGAGCAATATGACCATACATATTAATTTTACGTTAATATTAGTATTCTCATATTCTGTACTCATTTAAACAAATTTATTTTAATAAAAACAAATTTATTTTAATAAAAACTTTAATTTATTTGTTTAATTAATTATAATTATTATATATTTGAAATAAATTGGAAATCTTAAAGTTTTTTTCTTTTTAAGTGACAGGAAAAGGATGTAATTCGTAAAAGTGCCCTTATCCAAATATAAGATTTACTATACTAATGTAATATTTCCATACAATATTGTTACATAAACTTTGTGTAGAAATATCTTTAGAATATATATAAAGAGTTATTATGGCAAACATAGCTTACATTACTCACTTTTCCAATTCCAAAATATGTCACAAGAGCAAGACACGGTGTCGCAAGAGAGAAAATTAATAAGTGTCTGCTTATTTTCTTACTTTCTATCTACACTTTCACGAAGAAGAAATGACACAAGTCCAAATGCAGCTGGCGCCTATAAAAAACAATTTAATGTTTAACGATAAAAAAAATTGATAAGCTAATTATATTAACTTACATTTTTTATTAAGTGCTTGTTAATTCATTTCTGAAACATTGTATATAACCCTCTTACTTTGTGTAACATTATTGCGAAGAAAAACTAAGACACTTCGACATCAGTTTGAAATGTAGTAGCAGCAGCTCCCAATGCAACACCGCCAATCAACTAGCAGCATCTACTATAAGACCTAAAGTTGCTGTAATACTTTTCTTGTCTTCCTCCACTTTTTCTGGCTGAACATTGATCAATTAAAAGCATAAACCAAGTACTAAACTAATTCCAATTAAAGTATGTAAATTGCCTGTAAAAAAAGAAAAAAGAACAGGAATACTATTAATTAGATGTTAATTTCATGAAATGTGGCAATCAGTAAACATGCAATTGCATACTATATGAACCTTTTCCAGTTTAGTAATACCATCCACAGTAAATAATGCTCTTACACCCTCAGGTATAGTCAGGTATAATCGCTAGCGCAGTACCAACAAGGAGTCCTGCTCCTAATATTGAAACTAATTGTAACTTGTCCTATGGAAAACATATTGCACGTAAATTACAAGATACAATGAATTCTGATATACACCTATTATATACATACATAATTTTATATTACATAAAATATTCTTCTTCACTTCTGTATCTTACTTCTTCTGATAAATTTATTTAACTTAATGGCAGTGATCCAGCTCCAAGACAAAATCCAACAAACATAACAAGAGAAAGCATCCATAGCATTGCTCTCTCCTCCATTTTTATTTAATTATTTAATACTGATGGCAATTTATTTTTAATTTTTAACATTATTATATACATCAATATATATAATATACATCTTAGACATTATGACATTAGGTATTTGACTAGCAATATTAAATTATAAATTTGCAATTATATATATTGATCTATGATGTCGATGTAATAATTTTTTCGACAGATCAAAATATAAGTAAGATATTCGATGATTTATATACAATAATCATTGAATCGATTAATTAAACCACAAAGGTCGACAAGATCGACAGTACCAGGTATCTTCAGACCAGGTAATTCCTACATCTCGGAGCATAGACGTATGTTACATATATAGATGGAGCGTTATATTTATTACATAAAAGGACCGTCTCCAATGGAGGAATAAAGGTGCAATTTCATTGTCGCTAAAAGGTAGCGTCAACCATTGGTTGAACAAAGAAGTAAGTAGTTGCTTCATTGTTCAATCAATGGCTGACGCTACGCATTTTAGCGCCAACGAAATTTAAACCTTTAAACCTTTAAATTTGCAATTTCGCGCATGTTCGGCAGTCCTCGCGCCTGTTTGGGAGCTTTCACGCATGAGCGGCAGTTCTCGCGCCTGATTGGACGTCTTCGCGCGTCCGCGGCAGGCCTCGCGCCTGATTGGGAGTCTTGGCGGCGCGCACGGCAGTTCTCGCGCCTGATTGGACGTCTTCGCGCACGCACGGCAGTCCTCGCTCCTGATTGGGAGTCTTCGCGCGTCCGCGTCCGTTCTCGCGCCTGATTGGCGCGTGCAGTCTTGCGCGGCAGTTCTGAATGTCCTAAATATATATACAAGTGTTATTTGTACATATCGATAGGAAATATATACACAAACAACATTCATTCTTTAAAAAAATATCTAAAATTAGTACCCGCATTTTCTATTGTTTCTCTATAATATATATTGATTAATCTATCTTGTGCACTGTATGTTATTTCATTACAATCGGTGTCTGTTAAGGAAAAATTACGTAATTTAATAACAGGAATATTGGGCAAATAAATAATATATAAATGATTTTACTCGTTAAATAATTAGTACAATTGCTTCTAATGCATCTGTTCTAAATCGTAAAGCATTTTTTTTCCAACTAGCACCATTATATGCTTTGCATACATATATTTACAACAATTGTATATTGCAGAGATTGCGTCTCGACAGTTTGGATATCTGCAAGCATACTGTAGCAAGAAGAGTAATTTTATGCAACTTCAATTATATAAACTTTACATCAAATTTGTTTCTATAATATAAAACAAAATACTAACACACTTTATTTAAGTATTTTCCTTTATCTAAATTATGTCATTCTGTAGGGCAAGTATCATAAGTGTTTAGATATATCAGTATATGACGTTACGCTTTTGTGCATCAGCAGGAACATTTTTTCCTTTCAGATAATAAATGTTTCTATTAAACAATACGCATATGTATACAGCAAAAGAAACAAGTATAGTGCGCATATGGGGTGTAACTGTATGTGTACACATCTTGCGATACATTCCATATACTCTTTAACAAAATTAAAATA